CACACACACACACACACACACAAACACACACACACGCAATCATCAAAATTGCACACAGCAATGTTTGTCGCTATGTCCAGGAGTTTTTTGCCGCTTGGACGAGATTTCTTGGGTAAAGCCCAAGGAGGAGATAGGTTCCCGAGCATCGGCTTAGTAATTCATCTTATCTTTCAGCTTTCAGCTTTTAGATCAGGAAATGACGTAATAATTAGTAGTCAGACATTCCCAAATGAATATCTTTTGAGGGTAAAGAAATTGTTTCCACCTATATATCCTACTATATAAGTTCGTAGCACCTATAAAGAAAGAAAAAAAAAAAGAAAAATTGATTTTTTTTTTTTTGAAAAATTAACAGTGGTACGAGAAGAGTATTTGCTTTTGCTTTGGAATGTTTGCATATTTTTCCCATTCGTTTATTGTTAAGTGATTTTATTTACTATCTTTACATTTCATGCATTTTCTAATGTTGTTGTTTAGATAATAAATTGCGTTAACTTATATGAATACATGTTCTTGACGTGGTTTCAATTAATTGTTGTTATTTTTATTATTGTTATTATAATTATTATAATTATTATAATTATTAATTATAAGAATATAAACTTTAAATTATTTTTATTATATTCTATGAAAAATTTGTGCTTTCCCTAGTAAGGAAAGAGAATAAATATAATCTATATATATTTAGAGATATATATTTTTCTTCTTCTTCGTCTTCTTCTTCAATGAAACAGGTTGCATCAAAAATTTCTTAATAAAAATGATCGTAGCTAATCAAAAGGATGAACAAAAACATTTCAGGAAAATCTCTTCTTACATTTAAAATAATTTACTGTCTTTTCTGCTGCTTTTCTTTTTTTTTTTTTCCTTTTTTTTATAACTTAAAATGGTTTCAAGTGAAAAAGAAAAATTCTTTTCAAGATTTTCATTTTTATTCGAATTATACGTTAAACAAAAACATTATAATATATTATGATAGAATGTTTCGTCTTTTAAATTAATTTTTTCTTTTTTTATCTTATGCGTACATACTAATATATATTTGATATAAATAGTAAACCGCGGAACACTTGTTTGCAATTTCTAAAAAAAAAAAAAAAAAAAAAAAAAAAATATTTATTTATTTTATATTGTTTTCGTTTACTACTATATGTCAAATTGTTTTTATTATATATATAAATTTATAATATATATAACAGATTCACTTCCCTCCACATCCTTACGTAATGGCAAAAGAATATGAAAGGATTAGTTTTTGCTGTGAATCTGTTTCTTTTATCTGTCTGATTAATTGTTCTTTCTTGTTTATTGTTGTTGTTGTTGTTGTTTTGTTTACTACAATCGAAGAGAGAGAGAGAGAGAGAGAGAGAGAGAGAGAGAGAGAGAGAGAGAGAGAGAGAGAGAGAGAGGTTAAAATAAATTTTATTTTTTTTTTCATTTATTTTCTTTTTTGGGAATGGAATCATTTTTGGAGTCACTTTTTTATAGTGATGTACTTACTATTTTGTAAAACCAAAGGATCTTTAGTGAAATTAGTGAACAGTTTAAAATCTCCCCCGCCAGAAGTGGGCTTTTGTCCCGTCCATCTAAAGTGGACGTGTGTACTAGTGTCTCAGACTGAACACTAAAAATTCATTTCAAAGAAAATGCATAGCTTATGCAAGTTTCATCTGAAAAATTTCACACAACTTTCTTCCCTGTTACACCCGCTTATGTATTTCTTGTTCGCTTCTGGTACCGTACTCTGTAGACCTGTACAGATTCTTGATTGGATAGAGCTAATCATCCCGCATTCTTTAAACTGGCTGGTAATTGTTGATGAAAGGCTTGCAGTTCTACAAGAAATTGCTCGTAGCTAGCGAAGGTTAGCGGATACACCTAATAATTTATTACAGTTTTGTATCTATTTCTTAAAGTCTTGATCGACATAGATGGATGTCAAAGGAAGTTCTAAAACTCTTCTCTTAGCCCAAAAGTTAACACAAAAGTGGTTTTATTCTCTGTCGTGATGTAGTAGCATATTATTGCTTAAATAGATGTAGACCGTTATCCACCATCGTATGTATGCATTTTTTATATTTATACATGTATATATATTTATATTTATATATATATATATATATATGAATTTATGTTAATAATTAATTAAATATAATTTCGTTTTTATTTTTGTTTTCTGAGAACTTATACAGTTTAAGGCAAATTTTTAATATTTATTTATTTGTAATAATTTCGTTTTTTGTTAATTTCAAATTTTTTCAATAATTTTATTGAATTTCGAAAGCTTTAGTAAAATTTAAAATTTACCTTTTGAAAATTATTTTTTAAGCCATCTTTTTAAATATTATTTATATACTAAATTATTATATACGTATTTCTAAAGTTTTGTTTTCTTTTCTTTTTTTCTTTGGCAACTTTTTGTTTGTCGATAGAGAAACACGTCATGATAAATGTAAAATCAAAAATATTAACATAATTTGACAGAAAATTTTCTTCTTCTGTTTTTTTTTTTTTTTTTTTTTTTCTTAAGGCTCCAATCAATACTTTTAATATTGATGATGATCTCGAGTTCGGAACCGACTTTTTTAATTTTTTGTTTTTATTTTTTTATTTTTTATTTGCATTAAAATTGATTTAATTCAGTTTTCGTAGTTTTAAGCTCTTATGCGTGATTTGATAAAAAAGAAGAAAAAAGAAAAAAAAGCTCTTGATAAAAAAAGTAGACGAGAGCTATCGCAGATTGAAATGGAAATGCATAGAAATCTATTATTTATTATTATTATTATTCATGTTTGTTACAACCAATTAGCGAATTTATTCCGATACCCACTAAGGAAGGATAGGTATAAACACAAGTTATTAAGCATATCGTGCATTCCGCGTATAACATATAGATCAACTCTCAATATACCCTTTTATACAGTATGCAGATAGTCCGAGCCAAACGTGAGCATTGTTTGTCCGGTTGTTTGTTTCCTTTAAAGGCTATGAATGCAAAGTGAGTGGATGAGTGGAAAACCTGAAACTTTGCACTTTAAGACGAGTACGTGGAAAGCTTGCAATAAGTACTCAGAAAATTTTTTTATCTTTGTCTGTGCTTTGTAATCATCGATATGGGTTGCGTTAGGGATACTGCAAGTTTTTCTTTCTTTTCTTTCTTGTTTTTTATGAAACTGGGTTATAGAACGTTGAATTGTGTGTGAGTAGATAAATTTTCATATCCAAATGGACCTAAGAGCGCAGCTCGTTCAGAATGTTTATGAAAAGTTCGTTTATACACGAATGACAGCACTCTCCCTGTACACTTCCAATACGCGTCTTTTGCCTTTGAGATCGAGTTAAACGTAATTTTCTGTTTTTCTACATTTCTATGAAAATGCATGAATTCGTTGATTCGCTTCTGATATTCATCTAAAAGTTCTCATCTGAAACGCATTGAAATGTTTGGAGATTCTCATCATTAACATGCAACTATAAAATCCATTTAATTCGGGCCATCCGTCTATCTTCGGCGTTCGCGAAGTTACGAGATGCTTCCATCGATACGGTTGGTGAAAATTGAACACATACGCATTTACGCAATAAGAATCTCCACAATAATAAGAAGAACTGATACGTAAAAGAAGAATGAAAGCTGAATGAAAATTTCTAATATCAACTATTAGGAGGCAATTGATCGGCACCGTATGCATAATCTTTGTAAGATTACAGACGATAATATTATATGAGCGATTTTTTCATAGAGGTTCTGTTGCGCCATTTATAAATTTAATTTTTTATGCTTTGGCAGCACGATGTATATATACACGCACAAATATACACACGCACAAATATATATATATATGTATTGGCATGAGTTTGGTATGCATTTACCACACATACATGGGCACAAATTGAAAAAAATTGCATTTCTCTGACGTCTTCGAAAGCGCAAAGCATAGGGCAATTAAGATAAACAGAGCGTAGTTAAGATAAACAAATATCCTTAACACGTTCGCTATTAGCCTATGTGAGGAGAAGCGTTCTCACCATAGCCCGAGATTGTTTTCATGATTGTTTGGCATCCATTGGGATAGATTTGCAGAATTCTATAAAAAGCAAAGTAAATTTTGCTTTAAACAGACACAAATATCTAATATCTGGTCGACGGACAACGTTGTAACGAATATGTTACATACATCTGTCAAATTAAATTCGAAGAAATGGATTATAGGACAAAAAAAAAAAAAGTAGAGAATTTATGTGAACATAATATTCACTTTATTTTGTATAATAAGTTCTTAAAACATTTGTCAATATACCGTCCAATCGGTCGTGGTTCCGCAAGACCTACAGACATTTGTCATTCATTTCACAGTAAGAAAATGTTACACTTTATCAATGTCTGTGAAATCAGTTCAGTCTTCATACTGTTTCGTTCAATGCACAACACATTTAAACTTGCTGGGGTGAACTTGGGTGGCCCAAAAATGTCTGTCTCATACACGAGACCTTGTATTATGGTAAGAAATTGTAGCGCCACATGTATATGTGACAATTAATGCCGGAAGGATTAGGTAAGGTAGGTTAAGGTAGGTTAGCATTTAAGCCTCCATCTAAGGCCAATGTAGAGCGTAGCGAATTGAATGAAGTGCACTTCGCGGACCCCATTATTGATTAGTATAAGATGTGCAGTTGATTTAGTTGTGTCGTGTTGTGTTTGCTTCCCAGTTGTTTTGTGACTGGGTTAAAAATTTCGAACTCGGAATAATTATTTGAAAAAAAAAAAAAAAAAAAAAAAAAATACTAGTAGGTATCGAATGTTTTTATCCTAAGACGAAAAATATATATTTTTTATTTTATTATTTTTAATTGATTTAAAATTATTTTTCTGTTATTTTATTTCGTATTAGAACGCATTATTTTTTTTTTGTTTTTCTGCTTATTAACTTGCATTATATTTAGTTTTATATTTTTATTCAATTATTTTATTTCATTTTATAATTAAATTCACTTTTTTACATTTATTTATTTAAAATTTTTTTTTTTTTATATATAATTTTTAATCAAATTTTTTTCTTTTTCGTTATATAATTTAAGCCATTTGAAAATCTAACGACTCTAGTCATCTGGGTCTAACCCGATTAGTTCTGCTTGCAAACGGCCCTTAGTCTTACAACAGATTGTTAAACAAAATACTCGCAATGCTATACGAAATTGCGGTAACATTGTTGTCATTATAATAATTTTCCAGAATGAATTTAAAACGCCGACCCAAACAACACCGAAATTTATTAGAGTATTTTGTACAATCTCACCGGTTACCGTTTCGTATAGGCGTAGAAAGATCCATGGCAACCAGGACATCCAGAATGCAAACACTAATACGAATGACATCATATGACTAGGATTCGATAAATTTTCGGCCAATGCTGTGGCATATTCTTTATCGTGTATAGGCTCGCCCGATTTCAGTTTACGCATCATTATGAAGATATAAGAATAATTGTGAACGATCGATATAACGCTAGGACCTAAAACTAATATTGCTAATGTCACGCTATATGCGGCTATATTGCCCCAGTCCAGCATGCAAATGTGCGCAACGTTATCTTTAAGCGGTATTGTATAACCCAATATGGGAGGGCAGCAAAGCAATGCGGCTGAGATCCAGGTGAATGCCATCCAACATTGACATCTACATGGTTGATTATAAGATGCGAAATATTAGAATCGTTTGTATACGTGTAAGAATGGCTAGCTTACCGTGTTTTAGTTTGAACCGTTTCATAACGTAATGGCTTACGTACGGCCAAATAACGATCAACCGAGATCCACATGAACGTATACACCGAGACTGCCCATAATGTTACCTCCAAATAACCTGTAAATCGACACACAACGTCGCCATACATCCATTCCCCGGTCAAGGCCGGATATACTGAAAATGGTACCACTAAAAGGCCGCATAATAAATCCGCTACCGCTAATGACAATAAATAATAATTGATGACCTCTGTGGGACCTAAATAGTTGAACGAATTCAAAAAAAAACGTAGATGAAAATTGTTAGAAAACTGAAATCTTTTCAATTTCTTCGATCGTTTTATAAGCCGTTTTACGATCTTACGATTGCCCTTTACCTCTCTGTTAACCCTTTACATCTCTGTTGCTTAAATGCTTTCGAGAATATTCTCATAACTGAATGAATGATTGAATGAATGATTGAATGAATGAATGAATGAATGAATGAATGAATGAATGAATGAATGAATATGAATATTGTGTTTATGTGGGGTTGTGTGAATTTGTGTATGGTGTAATGTTGTGCACTTTACCTTTAAAATTGGCATATGTTGCTATAATTAGGAAATTCGATAACACAATGGCAATGGCTAATATGGAGATGAGTACAGCTTTGGTAAGTGCCTCCAATTTGGAATGATCCTGCAGGTAACTCATTTCCTGCATTTTTGTACAGTCTGCAAGAATGGAAATAAAACACTTATTGCATGTGCATTAAAACTAATTCTCGATTATATAATATTATATTAAGCGTGCGACTCAGCTTAGTTTCTCTTTTTCAAAATTCACAAGCAAAAGTAAATGTTCTTCAAGTAATTACGTCCATCGTTAATCACAAATTGTTCCTATCTATCCATCTATCGGGGAGATAAACTATGCTTTGATGGGTAGCATAGATGTACCGAAACTCTCACCTCCCAGTGGTGATCCCCGGGCAACGGCTTCGGCCGGCTAAGAAGAGTTTAAGGTTTTGGGCTGCTAACTCGGCGACGAGTTTCTGAGAGATGGTGGAGGGGTTGGCTGGAAGAAGAGCTCTTCACTCAATAGCTGATTACTACCGAGGAAATATATGAATGAATGGTTTTTAAGTACGTTGAAGGTAGTAATCTAGTGAGTGCATGGTAGATTATTCTGCCATGTCAGTGCAATACCCGAGACCTATATATCTCGAAGAGAAGTAGTTCACTGGTGTTGGCAACCAGAAAAGTATGGAGAATCCGAAGCAAGTACGGTTGTTTTTTTAACATCCGCCCAAAGTATGCAAAAGGCTTTGTAAAACAAACTGGGAGCCACGGGGTTCAGGAGGCTCGCCTCACAAAGCCACGTATGCCTGCGGGTGTATGATGGACTTTGTTCTTAAAGTCGTAATGAATAAATTAATTTTACTATTAATGCAAAAAGGAATTGACGGACGGCCTTCCCTTTGGCCGGTTAATAGAAAACCTCTGGCAAATTAATTTAATACATGCAAAAATGAAAAAAGCAATTTGACGGAAAGGTTTTTCCCCTTTTGCCTATTTTTACTTTTGAACATATGTCACGGATGCCTGCGGGTAATGGTGGTAATTGATTAACAGCACAGTGGAAGCCTTATGGCGGAAGCAAGCGTTGATCAATTTGTGAGTCCTGACTGCTTGGGTACGGCCCTGCGGGGAGTACTCGTGGTGGTTGTGGTTGGCGAGTTCCTAGCTTAAATGGAACAATTTGAGTGCAGCTAGTCCTCACCATTGACCAGAGTGGGGTTTATTGTTCCATACACAATAAACCGTTCTGGGCTCTGGTGCTGTTTAGGCCCCTACTCTGTGGGGATTGTCTAACTCGCCAGGGGGCGTAGTACGCTTTAAGTGGCTTGGGCCACCGTGGGGTTAAGACTTTCAGGCAGGAACCTACGTTAAACCCCTGTCACAATTCTATCCATCTATCTATCTTTCTGTATATCCATCACGAAGGAAGAATTCATTTATGTGAAAAGTTATACGACTAGAGATATGCTATTGTTTGACTGAAACAGAGAGAGAATTAATTGTCTCTTAGCACAGGAACTGCTAGCTAATTCCAGCTACTACCAGTTGTTATAATATTTTTTCCTTGACGAAAGATCAGTGCATCTCAACTTTTTGTTCGTGTACCGGTCAAATAAAGAACCGCAAGAATATTCACTTCCAATGTCGATGTTAATCCCTTCTTCGCCTTGCACGTTTCGCATGATCGGCTTGTGTTCATTTCTCATAATCCATGTCATCTCAGCAGTCCTTTCCTCCGAACTAAACCCAAAAACCAAACCTTTTTTAGTTTCTCTTTTTTCCTTTCTCTTTTTCGTACTTAACTCAAAGCGGAGAAAAACTAAGTCACACATTTACATATTACAACGCAAGCACTGTCATTTTGCTGAACAATCAAATTCCATTCTATTGGGTAAGTACTTTAATTGAAACGTTTAAATTATCAGCTATTTTTGAAAGCGAAGTATGTTCAGACTACAAATTGAAAATTATGTACAGGCGAAATGCAAAGTGGAGGCGTTGTCTGCCCAAGTGAATATATCTTGGATTAGTCAAGAAAATACGGTTTCTCAGAATCAGGCAAATAAATTCAATCAGTTATTATTAAAAATATTTCTGAAATAGGATAGGAATTAAGACACAAACTAGTACTTGTTTGGATGAATGGACAGAATATGTGCTGATAAAATTGTTGCCTAAGCGATCGACCTCGTTCGATCGGATGCAAATCAAAATGTTATAAATGATAGATAGAAATGCAGCCAGACTACATGGCAAGCGAACGGATAAAGACGAAGGGACACATGGGGAAAATAGTCATAAGGAAGAATAGATTGATAGTTAGACAGTTGGCAGTCGAACTGACGCATACGAAGTAGATGCGAATAAATAGAGACGGGAAGGCAGTTGAATAGATAAACAAACGAAAGCAACACTAGCGAATATATATACAGCTGGACGGACGAATATAATCGAATTTATTCCGAATCATAGGCGAATTGGAACTATTTGTATTTGTTACAAAAAAAATCATATTAAAAAAATTCTTTTATCCCCATCCAGCCGTGGTAGGGATATATGAAATCATTTTCGCTTAGCATCGGAATATTGCCGTCATCGAAATACTCTGTACTCTGGTGTTTAAAATAAAAAAAAAAAAAACAAACAAACAAACAAACAAACAAATAAAACTTAAAAAAACAACCTTATGTATTACATTGAATTGGCATTTTGTGATCACACTGACCTTTACCCTGAGAGACTCCTAAAGTGAAAAGAAAAGACACATATTTCTATATACGTAATGAAAGATTCAATAATACAATAAGTCAATAAGTGCTCAGACGTATACCTGCGATGTAAGCAGCTTAAGTACGTATACAGTGGCACCCACAACAATTGCACAACGAATGAAACGCGAAACAAGAAGAGGAAGAAGAAGAAAAAGAAGAATTTGGCGGCCGGAAGAAAACAACTTTAAGAAAATGCATAAATTTTCTATCTAAATACCAAAGAAACAATTGCAAAACATAACATATGTAACAGTCGCTGTATATTAAATGAAATTAACAAAACAAGAAAGTAGCACTTACCTTACTTCCGGTCATGACGCTTTGGCAAAATTTATATTGTAAGCCTAAGTGTAGACAACAAGTCCGAAGACCTTTCTAATGCTATGTGATACTAAATGCAGACTAAAGAATAGCAATTGAATAGTGAATCGAATTAAAAAGTGAAGCGAGAGAGAGAGAGAGAGAGAGTGAAAGAAGTAAGGAAAGCGGCTAGAAGGAGAAAGAGAAAGATTGAATAAAGGGAAGCGTAAGATAGAAAGAGAGAGATAGAGATAGAGGTAGAAATAGAAGGAGAATGTGTGAGAGAGGCAGAATGATGGTCTGATTTTTAATACAATTGAATTGTAATCTTAATTGTTGTTGCTGTGTCGTTGTTGTCGGCCTTTTATATAGTTTTTATTATATTCGGTTGTATCAATACGTCCTTAAAGGTGTTGCCTGGTATGCGCTATCGCTTAGCCAAACCTGGTTACCGCGAGCAGCAGCACGCGAAGGTTACGTTTCATTTGTAAAAAATTAGATAACAATTGCAATATCATAAGTCTCTAGGTGAAGTTTTCTCCTTTTTTTCTGTTCAGTTTTTTTTGTTTTTTTTTTATTCAGTTGGGCTCTTGCCAAAAATTCATTTCGATTACGTCTTCTTCTGTGACTGGATACGAACGTACAACATTGTTGTAATAGTTGCAAGTTTAAGGTTAAGGATGAGGTTTTCATTAAATATTTTTATATTTAAATTTTTAAATAGTTGCAGCACAACAAGTAAAGTGTTTCCGTTTGCTTATGTAAAACATTGTTTGCGCATTTGTTAACATTTTTTTCTTTTAAGTTATTTATTAAAAAAAAAAAACAAAGAAAATAAGGAAAGAAGAAAAGCTCGCTTTTACATCTGATTAATTATTTGATTATTTGTTTTTTAAATTTATTTCACAACACTTTTTGTTTTTTGTTTTTTTTTTTTTTTTGTAATTTAATTGTTAAAACTATTACAAATACGTTTCAATTTCGACTATATGTAAATATTTATTGTGTATTCCTAATGTTTTAATAAATAATATTTTTTTTTTTTTTTTCAAATAAATATTCACAAGACTTGGAAGATATATCGAGTTGTTATATATAGATAATTTCGTTTTATTAATTTTTTATATAATACCATTTTATTTTTTTTATTTTTTTTATTATTAAATAACGTTAATAATATTTAACACGAATTTATTATTTGCAAATATTTTAATGTAATAGACGCATTGAAAACATATCTCAATTTTTACGATTACTCGAGAGAATCTGCGAAAAGAAGAATGAGGAAATATTAATTTTTATATTGTTATTAACAATTTTTAGATTTTAATTACTTCCTGTTTACTACGTCACTATGGCAGTAAAAGCAGTAAAAGTGCAATAATTTTGTTTTAATAAAAAATTTAAGTAAGACGATCAACTAAGCTAAAGATATAAATGAAAACATTATAGCGGGACACGGCCCGCTATAATTAAATGCCCGATACTCCTTCGCTTAATAAATTTATTCATACAACGGCGGTGTTACGTGCGAAGTGGTCGGAAAAGTGATACAATCCGGGCCATGCTGATTATCAAATTTCATTAAAATATATTCAAAACTGCGTCTTCTAGTCTCAACAGACGATATTAAGACGGACGGACAATTAAGCTTAAATTGATTCAGAAATTGAAAGCGTAGTAAAACGTGGGTATTTTCACAAGTCCTCCTGGTACAATCATTTTCTCATTTTCTTAATAATACACCAAAAATTATACATTACTTTCATGTAAATGTATAATTTTCATTAAGGTTTTCATATCGACGGATACTCCAACGTAGTGTAAATATAGCAAACTTTATTTACTTGTCAAAGATTTTATTATTTTCCAGTTGCTTGGGTCATAACAAACCACAAAATAGGGTTTGTCCCCACAGAAGGGTTTGCTTTCATACGAGCCCCTATATACGGATAGAGCTATGTCATCCAAATTGTCTATGGTTAATTTGCTAAGAATCAATTTTCATCATAGAATATTGAAAAATGCCCCTACACACATACAAATGCTTATTTTTCAACTGATAAATTTTTAATGTTTCTTTCTAAAATAAACAATCGGTGAGGGGATGTCTCACGTATTCGCGTAAGTCGGCGACAATTACAATGAAAGAAGATACTTGCGGCTAGGAGAACCATTATATGGTGTGGCATCCAAAAAATATGTGATGCTTTGTGGCGCGAATTTCGTAAGATTAACTTTTATGACGTGTTATTATTACGAACGAATTTTCATCAAGAAGAATTGACAATAGGGCCACTTTAGCTTATAACAATTCATTGCAAGG